TAGGCGGTTCTTGCAAGCTTTTCCGGTCTCAGTGCAAGTTAAAAAAATCACATTGTTAGTTTCAGTAAGATGAAGTAGATTACCCAGAATGATGTAAAATACGAATCCGGATCCGGATCCGCATTAATCACTGCTAATGAGGATTACCGGATATGTTAACTAGATTTGAACGTGTATAAAATTTCTAACGATTTTTCAGCCATTTATTCTATCACGTCCGATGTGATAATGCCTAGCATCTGGACTGTGAGAACGCTGTCAATTTCATAATAGCATAAGCTGATCACAGAATTATACCTGTTTATACTTATATATATTTAATTATTCATTATTTTGTTAAAATTTAATGATTGCATTTCAATTATCAACCACTAGAAATCAGGTTGAAAATTAAGACAGTTCATGCACAAACAAATTTACGTCATTTCTGAAGGCAAAAATAAATTCAAATCAAAATGCCAATTTTGATTAAAAAACAAAGTCATGAAGAGAGTTGTAGCCCGAATATTTAGCACAAAATAAAACAATAAAAGTGTTTAGCCACAAAAAGTAGAAAGTGTATTACGCTATTTTGTTGATTCATTTACAATCAATTTTCAAAAAGTTAAAAAACAAAACAAAAAACTCTGAGTGGTGAAGTTGTTCCCACATTTTTCAAAAACTTTGATCCAAACTTGCAGCAAAATGGAAAATATGCTGCTTTGAGTATTATAAGTATATATTACAAATTGCCCAAATGTAGTTAACATTCTGGCAAAAAATTATGTCATTCAAGTGTTGAACAGAATGTTTGTTGTCAGTTGGCGTTTGTTGTGATTTTAAGTACAACTACTATAAAATGACTAATTTTCACTGGGTTTAAATTTCGCTGTTTTACCATTTCAGGCATATTCAGTGGGTTTTAAATTCACGGTTTTATCATTTAGATAATGTGTTCTATGCTAAATTTTACATATTCACTGGGTTTTAATTTAGCGCATTTTCCAGTCAGCGAAATAAGCCAAATTAAAACCCAGTGAATAATTAACCATTTTACAGTAATTTAACCTTTTGAATGCCAATTCTTTTTTTGCAAAAATTTGGTACAACATTTTGCCGATTTTTATATATTTTTACATAATTATTTAGATAATTTTGGACCAAACGAACATGATTTCCTGTTGACTACAGATCTTGAACACAATTTGTGGAAAATTATAAAAAAAGTTATGTGTGAATTTTGAGAAAAGTTGACTTTGACGCTTGAAAGGTTAAAGGTTGAAGAGTGCATAGTACATCTACACATGCACCAGGTGTTATTACTTAGTCAGGTCTGGTGGGGGGAGGGAGGGAGGGAGGGAGGGAGGAGCAGAACACTAACACTATACGATACATATTGTTTACACTATAATTAATCGTTGCGACACCTTTTTTTTATCATGGTTTTCGATGTGACTGCATTTGTTAAAAAAGATGAGTGATCTAATGGTAGTACGTGTTTAATTTTTGGTGGGAGTATTCTAGCGTAGAAAAAAAAAAAGTTGGCCGAAGCCTGACTTAAAAACTAACTTAAAACTAACTACCACACTGAGACAGGATTGTAAAGAGCGACAGCTGGGGAACCTCCCATTGCATCAAACGTCCTCAAATAGTTATGTAATTAATCACACTAGAAATATCCAACGTAGCATTCCAATTGGATGAAAATAAGACATTCAATGCAATTGGCGCGATCGTTTCCGGTAAACAACAACGTTTTGCACGTAACATACGTGGTATTGCACCGGTCGCTAATTTTTGTGAATATTTATTTGTCAGTTATTATTTTCGCGCCAGACTCAAATAATAGACGCAGAACTTTTTGTTGGTGATAAAGAATGCAGACAGACATTTAAATATCTTCGCATCCCCGATGTTTTTAGTTGTTGGTTACAGAATAGTTGTAAAATTATACTGTTTCATCAAATACTCAAAATGCTCGATCAAAATTTAAAAACATTTCCAAAGTTGTCTCTTTTGTTTCAAATCAACCCTTTGCGCCGTTCACAAAATAATAAACCCAAATATTTTTTTGTAATATTTTTTAATAATTTTGATCAAGTCATGTTGGCAATGTGAAATTAGGTTCATCTGGTCTAAAATTAACAAAAAAATAAATGCTGAAATTTGCAAAAAGTCACATCAAAATTTTGGCGGGAAAAAAATGTGGCAAAATTACTTTGTATTGAGTGAAATATATGTGACAATACTGGGCATCAGTTAACATATGCTATATAGCAGTTGGGCGCCATTTTTTGTTAATTAAAAACTAATAAAGTATTAAACATTACTTAAAAAGAAAAATTTTAACATACAAAGTAACTGAATAATGATTAAAAATGTAAATTTATAACTCGGATAAAAGTCTAAAACAAACAATAAATATATTAATAATGAATAAATAAAATAACAATTAAATACATTAAGAGGAATATTCCATTCGACACCAAGGTAGTTGAAACTCACCTTAACAGGGGCAGCTGGTAGCGGCCTTTGTTGAGTAACATAGAAGTAGGAGTCTGGGAAATGTCTATAGGGGTGGTCGGGTAGACTGGTGACCAGGAGGGGCAGCTTATCCGTGGTTCTCGTGTCAATCAAGGGAATACCTCTGCTACTGCATCTGGTAGACATAAGTGCCATCGCTCGCTGGTAGATGGTGTCTTTGGTGGCACTGGGTAAGCTAGCTAACGTCTGCTTGGTACCGGAACGACTGTAAACAACAACAATAACAATAACTTCTGATTCTCACGCTATGTTATATTTTCCACACAGTTAGAGGGGAAGGGAGCGGGAGAAATGTGACAATAGTGATAGATGACATTTCAGGGTGTGGAAGATATACAAAGGTGTGAACTAAATTGCAACTGCAAATTTATGGTCAAGCATTTAATGTACACACATATTGCGGTTGCTATAATTAGACGATGAAGTCGAAAAAAACAACCCCACATGTATTGAACTTTGAACCAATTATCGGTACATTAAAAGGCATAAACCAACAAGCTATGAATTACGTACTTCTAAAAAGCCGATTTCGCACTTGAAAAGAGAAAAAAAAATGCAACATGCCTTGAAGGGGGAACTTCCATTATTTAAGATCGTGTTAGTAAGACGTACAAGTTAAACTATCCACAGTTGCATATAACCACCAGCTCCAAACTAATCAATGGTCGCCAAGAATACTCAAATCTATTTCAGTCAATAATGCGGGCAAATAAAAAAAGAAGGCCGCAGTCTTGATTTGCTGGGGGTGAAATAATGCCCAATCAAAATGAAGAAAAGCTATGGGTATTTCCTTTGTATAACTGTTGTGTCATTTTACAGTCAATTGTTAGGACTTCATCTCGCTAGCACAATGAATTTTATTGCTTCCTTCAACAAGGGAGACATTAAAAGCTAAAGGTAAATGAGATCATTTGAAAAAGTCTGAATAAAAGCACTTGGTAACAACTGCATTGAAATAATTACAACAGGAAATACTTTCATCTTTTCATTAATTCTTTGACTTTTCAGTTTCCAACCATCAAACATTCACATTCTAGGCGTCTAAGCACAGTTTAAGTTGAATGACGTCTTGAAGTTTTTTTTTTTAATAGAACTGACCCTCAAGTTTGACTTCCTCTTGATTTTTGTAGCAAATTTATGTCAGGTCCGTGTTTGTATTTGCTTTCCAAAGATCATGTCGTATTCGTTGACACATATTTGCTCTTTTTTGTTAGTGTGCCTGGCAGCACCTCATTGAGAAAACCACTTTAATGTGTCATGCAGGCATGCCGTGCCCATTGGCACCAACTCAAAAGCTGGAGCTGTACTCCCCCCATGTTGAATTGGAATAACCTGGTTCTCTCATTTGTTTATCAGTTGAAGGGGACATTCTATTGTTGAAATTATTGGAAGAAAGGGATGTCATCTCATTTTGTATGGGTTATTGAACAAATGTTGAAACAAGTTTACATTCTAAACTGAAAACATGCTTTTCGTCATATCATTAGCCAATTTTTTTTTTCTCACAATTTTTCCTGAAGTTGGTTCAACTGGTGGAAAATATATTTAAAAAAAAGTAGAAAGTGAAAAAAAACCAGTGTAAAACCTTGGGAAGCTGTATTTTTTCTACCAAAATTCTGCTGCAAAGTTTAGCATTATCTTGTATTTTTCTATAATTTCTTCATTAATTTTTTACCAATATGTCATACTCAGTACAGATTCTGACCACAAGTTTTGAAATAATTTGGAAAAAAATTATGCAAATTTATTAAGTGAAAGGTGACAAAAGTTGACTTCAGCGATCAAAAGGTTAAACTATTGAGGGCGCCTGCCATCTCAAAATTTTACCACCCGGTATGTATTAACAAATTTATTAGTTTGCACAGGAAGGTGTTGTTTTCAAGAGAGTTATTTGGGGAGGTCACAAGATATGGTTACCATGGTTACCACCTTCTAAATGCTATGTTCAGTTTGGACAGATTTAGATCGTATATCATCAACATTACAGGACAGTAAAGGAATAGAATAAAATAAATAAGTTTCTTATTTTGGCCAGGAAAAGAAATAAATCTTTTCCGTGTATCATTGGAATTTGAAAATGGCAGCATTTTAGGTAATTTTTTGACCTATGCAGATTTTTTTTCCCTCAAAATATCCCTCTCTAATAGTCAACCCCTTAAAAAAATATGTTCCAAGCAAAAATAAATTATGGTTTCTCAAAGTATTTCTGGAAAAGACTCCAATGCATGGATCTTACCACTGAGTGTTGTATTTATCTAATATTATTTAATAAAATTCAAATTGTTTTGTCAAATTTCACATTACAGATCTGTTACTAGACTTTTTGAAAAAAACACAGTTTTCAGATACCTGTTGATTGAAAAAAAACTTCCAAACAAGAAAAATAAGTATCATATTTTGAAAAAAAATATTACTCAGGCAGTTACATAGAACACAAGTTGTTGGTCATTTTGAATTACTAAAAAATACTGGTATATAACAAGCATGCAACGTTGCACCACTTTTGGCGGGAAAATCATGGCGTTTTTTGACACCACGTAAATCTTTATCAAGACTAAGTACATTTATGTAACAAGTACTTCCTGTCAGGCGACTGGACAAAAAGAAACCATTTTTATAACCCATCTAATCATGAAAATACCATGGCACCAAATATTTTTATTTTTACGACCACAGACTTTTTACAACCGGTTCTTCAACTCCTTTTTCTTTCAGTCCACAGCCGACCACATCAAAGTAGCAAAAACCCAAACAACCATAAAAAAAGGTTCATGATTAACTAAACGTAAAAAAAGAAAGAATTCTAATTACACAAAGTTACAAAATGGCAATGAATGAAAGAAGCGGTTGTTGTAAAAAGTTTACAGACGACAATAAAGACGAAGGACAAATCAATTTGTTTCTGAGTCATTCAATTCGCCATTTTGTCTTTCTCATTTTGAAAAAAACAAACTTCCGGGCGAGAAATTAAACACTTTCCCATGGGAGTTTTTTTGTTGTTGTTGTCAGAGATTTGAAGATATGAAAACGAAAAGGAATGCAATAATTACGACCGCACATTGCGCAAATTTTGTTGGCACGTGGGATTGTATTACTCCTGTGTTATATGATTCAGCCATTTTTTAGGTCCTAATAGTGTGCATTCTCGACAGATTCTATCATAGTGATTTGTAATGAGTAAAAAAAAAAACATCTACCACATTTTTAAAATATTGGAAAAATGGGACAGTGAAAATGGTGAGTAACAAGGCACAGACGAAATGCCAAAGCCACTGTCCAAGATTCATTCACTAATGAATGCAACTTTTAGAGAAACCTGGTTAACCTTTTCACCACCAGTTCCCTCTTTTCATCACAAAATAGTCTCTTTTATAATCAGCACTTTCCTTCAGAAGATTGGGAGTAAGAACTGAAAATTGACTCAAATTTTGTCTGTTGGCTTCAAAATTTGGGCTCATTTCCAGAAATATTGAAGAATATATAAGAAAAGTGTAGACAAATTTAAGCGAAAAAGTCTGGTGGTGAAAAGGTTAAAGTTTGCAGGTGCTTGTGAATGACGCCACATACCACAATGCTATTATGATAGAAAGATGGTCGCTGTCTCTTACAAAGCGCAGTCACTATACGTACTGTAAGCACTTAGTTCGGAATCTGCACATAAAAAAAAAAATCACCTGGCACAAATATACTGTTGAACACTATAATTTCTCCCGCCAAAAATTTTGCACATCTTTGTGCATTTTTTCTATTATTTTAGAAAAAAACATGGATAACAACTTCAGAATTTAAAAAAATATATTTTGACAGAATTATGCAGGTTTATTTTGTGGAAGGTGATGAAAGTTGTCATTTAAGTTCAAAGGTTTAAAGTTCAAAGGTTAATGACCCAATTCAATACCGGTAAGTAATATTCACAGATCTAGTCTGTGATTCAATGTGGTAGCGGGAACTGATTATTATGTCTGCGTTTGTGCATTGTAAATTACTTTTGTCAATATTGATTATAACAGTATCCCCAAATCTTGTACTTTCCAAATTTATTTAAATTAGCATAAATAAATGAAATGTACAATTAAAGCAGACATTCCAAGACTTTCTCTTATATCATCATTATCATAAAAAATTGTTGAGATTCGGTCATAAAATTCACAATGAAAAAAATAAATAATAATCGATGTCAATAATGCACACAAATCTTTCGGCATTTTGATTCAAATGCTACCACTTGTTGAATGCAAAGTTGGAATCTGGGGTCATTGCGGTTTTACGTGGAATAGTACGATATGATCTGAATTTGGATGCATTATGGGAAATACTAAATGTACAATTTTCAATGGTTTCCAGCGTGACCATGCTTCTCAATCTTTTGTTTGTTTCAATTTCATTCTTAATGCTTTTGAGCGGTGTCCCATGTGAGTTTATTCATGGAGATTTGCTCTCATTCTGAATCAATGGATCCTGTGGTTATTTGGAATATGAGTGACTCTTAATTTCTCATAATTTGTGAAGATTAATTATGTCACATATTCTCAAGATCTCACTAAAAGCTATAATGATAAGATACAAGTCTAGTGTTTCTCATAATTTTTGAGAAATTCAAAATTTCTATGTAATTGTTTACAACAGTGGTAAACCAACATAAGACATTATTAATTTTCTGTTACAAACGAGCATTGCTAAATTAAATTTTGTCTATTTCAGTGTTAAATTTGCCATGCAATCGTTGACTTAAATAGGATTGGTCATTGCCGCCTTCAAATTCTAGTTTTGTGTAAAAGCGGTCAGAGAGGTTACTGAGCCAGGTTAGATTAGGTTATCAATCCAGAGGGGACGAAATTTAATGGCTTCCGGACACTCACAGAGGTTGTTTTGTGAAGTTCAATGGACAAGATGAAATTGGACTTTGCTAGACACCTATTGAATTCTTTGATTGAATTCACCAGGGGAATAATGTGAGCACTGCCAATGACAATACTTCACCTTTACCGAAGGGTCATTGCATCATGAACTCAGAAATAGGTTACTTTTGCGACAGACTGAATGACAGCTATCAACAAATAGATTTTATTATGCCAGAAATAACTTTCATGCACCCTCCAAGCTTCAAATCACTGCAGATTCATGAATGCGAGGTTTTGGATTATACCGCCCTCAAGTGTCAAGGAAAAAGAAATAAGGTCACTTACAATCATGTAACCTATTTAACTAAAAAATGAGAGAGAGGAAAATGACATTGAACCGATATGATTAATTCATGTCGAGAATCAAACATGCATTGTCTAGGGTGTATAAATTGTTTTAGGAGTTGTGATAGTGAAAAAAAATTTATAATTCATTTCAGTATCTGGATTAAAGAAATAGTAATCGTCGCCTTCAAATTCTACTTTCGTGTAATAGAGGTCGGAGAGGTCACCGAGCCATTTTAGATTATGTTATCAATGCAAATGAAGTGATTTTTAAGGGAGAGCGTTTAATGGCTTCCGGACACTCACAGAGGTTGTTTTGTGAAGTTCAATGGACAAGATGAAATTGGACTTCGCTAGACACCTATTGAATTCTTTGATTGAATTCATCGGGGAAATAATGTGAGCACTGCCAATGACAATACTTCACCTTTACCGAAGGGTCATTGCATCATGAACTCAGAAATAGGTTACTTTTGCGACAGACTGAATGACAGCTTTCAACAAATAGATTTTATTATGCCAGAAATAACTTTCATGCACCCTCCAAGCTTAAAATGACTACAGATTCATGAATGCAAGGTTTTGTATTGTACTGCCCTCAAGTGTCAAGGAAAAGAAATAAGGTCATTGATATAACTAAAAAATGAGAGCTATTGAACCAAAAAATGCTCATATATGCATTATCCATAGTATATAAATCATTTTAGAAGTTGTGAAAGTGAAAACAAATTCATAATTCATCAAGCATCTGGATTTAAAAATATTCCATCCCCGGGAGGCCCTCTCGAAATGTAAACCATTTTGGAATATAAACTAGGGGCAGAGTTGGCTGGGTGAATTTGTTAGGGGGAAGAGAAATTGGGTTGGGTGTCATCGAAACAAGTTATCTTTCTCTTCAAGAACTGAAATCCAATTAGTATAATCAAATCAATTAAAAAAAAAGATTCTGATTCTAAATCATAAATTTGTAAAATTGACTAATCTTGTGGAGTGGAACAAAAGAATTTTAGGCAGAATGCATTATTTTTTTAATGCACGACCACCACAGACAGGAATCCTTAAAAACAAGTTTTTGTTCATTTTTTAATGTCCGTCAAACATTTTGTCCTTTTATTTGTGACTCCAAAAGTAATATTAATAAAAATAAACTAGAAACAAATTCATATTTACCGATAATTAAAAAAACAACAAATCAAATGATCACAGTTATTTACTTTTCAAGTGTCCAATAGCGTGATTGGTTAGTTCTTGTCACATGATCTGCATATTTCTAATACTATGTATAACCATCTATCTGTTTGTTATGTGTATCTCAATGGGAAGCCCCTTAAATTAGTCAGTGTGTATTGTTACTTAGGATATTATTTTACATAGAATGGTGAAGACAATATTTATTAAAAACCGTTGCTTAGCACCTAAGCTAGAGCCAATCTGTGGTGACTAGGTTCAGTAAATGTTCTCTTAATGTTAAATGTATGCGTTTTTCGTAGTTACTGTTCAAGTCTGTATTGTAGTTACGTGTGGCCTGAATATACTGGGGCATACATGCATTGTATTTGTGTCGCTTAATTATGTATTCAGAATGTTTTGTAATGTATCCCATTTGCTTTTTTACATGTACTGGTAGATGAATTTTATAAATTAATAAAAATGAGCATTGTGCAGAGTACCAATTATATTTTACAGAATCTTTTAAACAGTAAGAAATAATTTTTATAAATCACGAATCTCGCGCATGTGTCGAAAATGAATATACATGTATGTGCAACATTCTGTGTAATTAGATTTTATGTCAATTTTAGATTATTGTGTTATGTATATTGGGTTGATCTGCAATAACAATAATAATAATAATAATAATAATAATAATAATAATAATAATAATAATAATAATAATAATAAAAAGATTTTCAACCCTGATTATTTATTCTAATATATCTCACTTTTGTCAGTAAACACTTCCTCGGTGTCATAAAAAAAGTTGTTTATAATTTTTAACCAATTCACTCTTGGTTAAAATATCGAACAAAATCTGAAAATCGTGTTCAGTAAAGAGCAGTGAAAAAAAAAAAATCATTATTATTCAATTTTTTGAAGCAGTTTTTATCTGAAAAATTTAATTTTTGAATAAAATAATTTTAATGATGTATTAATTGACGACTTGTTGACTTGTTTGTGGAATGTTCACAGTCATTTGCAAATACAAAAGTAAAACTGCTTGACTGATAAATAAGGAAGACTTTCAGTCATCATTTGGATTGTGCATATAGCGCCCTCTAGTGTCAACAGCAGAATCTGTTCTAGAAATACTATACAGTGCTCAATTAGTGTAGTGGGTTTTATTCTCGCGTTTTGTCAAATGAACATAAAATAAAAAGTGATTATTCAGATTTAAAAACAAAATGTATTGTTTCCTTCACAACCTAATCAATATAAAACCTAGTGAATATCTGTGCATTTCACAGTACATCATATTTACTTAAACTAAATCCTACTTCATATATATATTTTTACTATGGGTCCCATGCAACCTTCACAATGTGTGTAAAATTTATCGCTTGCTTACACGAGATTTGAACCTGAGCTGGATGACATTAATTGCTTTTACATTTGTTGCTGAAAACTATAACAACAAAGTTTGTGTCAAAACTATCACTGCGCTTTACATTGCAAAAATGCAATCAATAATACAACTCAATCATAGAGGGAAACCACTCAAACATTTGTTGGGGAAAAATGAACGTTTAAAGAAATACACAGAAAAAGAGTCAACACAGAGTAAGCCAAAATATCATTTTGCAAGGTCAAAACTTGAATAGTCGGAGCAAAATTTTTCAAAATATACGATTTTACTTTTAGATATCATCAAAATAACATTTAATAAAGATCCTACTTTTCTAGCACATTTAATCCAGAACAACATTTTTGTGAGTCAAGATTTTAACAGTGCGCCCTCTACAGTTCAGAATCCCAAATTATGTTAGAGATGAAAAACATTTTATAAGGACTTTCATAGTAATACAATCCCTAGTTTCCTTCCTCTTTTTGTGCTGATGAATTATAATGAAGTATATAAAAAAAAAAAGTTTTAAAAATGGCACATGCTTTATCCTGATTGTATTCATATTACTTGACACAAATCTCTAATTTTTAATTGTTAGAAATCAACTATTGGCTAATTACACTAATGGCTATTTTTTTTGAATATTTTTATACATTTATCAGTTATTATAACAGAGATACTTAATCAGGGTTTAGGAGAAAACACGTGTAATCAAACAACACATAAACCAGTCCCCAAAATAGTATTTTTTTCAAGAAAAAATCAAGGGCGATCATAATTTTTTTTGTTCATAAAGCAACTATAAAGTGCTTGTAAATTATTTTATGTAAACCAGGATCAGGTATGATTCTTAAAAAAAACATATTGACAATTACACAAGATTAAAATACATTTGAAAATTTGGAAAGTTATGTTTCGGGCCTGGCCATACTTATCTCAATTTCTGTACTTTAAAAACACATGTTAACTTACGTTGGGCTTTCAGAAAATAGACTCCCTGTACCAAGCGTGAACGGCGTCGCCGGTGTGTTCAGAGTCGCCAGTCGTCCTGGTAACTCGTCCTGTTGTAAATTATCTTCCACAGTTTGTTGATTCATCACTCTGTCCAATTCGGCTTGTACTTCGTCAACAGACGGTGTGATTGCGTCATCGTTCTGGCCTTCTGCAGTGAGGAACACGTTGTCTATTCGTGAGTCCTCTGAGACGTCTTTACGTTTCACAATCCTCACATCAATAGACGAATGTGCTGATTTTCCTGTCGCGGTCGGTTTACTACTTTCAGACTCAGCTTGACTAATGCTGTCACATTCTGTGTCATTTTTGTCATCAGCCTCTTCCTTTACATTATCTTCATTTTTATTTTTCTCATCATCATCATCATCATCATCATCATCATCTTCTTCTTCATTCACATCATTCTTTTCTTTCCCTTCCCCTTCCTGTTCTTCTCTATTGTTCGCCGGAACATCCTCTTCTGTACTTTCTGGAATATCTTCTTCTGTATTTTTTATCTCGTTGTTTTCCTCTTCCTGTTCTTCTTCATTTTCATTTTTCTCCAGAATATCATCCTCAAGATTTTCAATCTTGTTGTCTCTCTCTTCCTCATGTTTATCCTTCAACTCCTTATCTTCTTTCTCATCACATGACCTTTCATCTTTGACCTCTGATGACACAAGACTCTCCTCCGCAAAAATCACATCAGATTCATAATTTCCTTTCAACAGAGGAGCAGAGGTTGGTCTGGTGTTAGTTTTTACAGTTTTCACACTGTTCTGTGCTGCAGCAGCATCATTTTTCTTTTTCTTTGTATCCTTCGTTGCCATTATTCATGTGACAGGGCAACTACATGGTGAAATCAAGAAACATAATCTGCAATAGAAAAACAGAGAAAATAAGTATATATATATCTGTATATATGGGATTGGATATGATGGATATGTGTGACAAATCTTGAAGTTCAACTGAAGTTCTGAAATTGTGATTGTTGCACCAAGGTTTGCGAACTAAGATGGCAACATTAAGTGGAGGAGGGAAGCTAAAATTCCTGTTTCTTGAAAAAATAAATCTTGTTTAGGTATTTGCTCTATTAGAAGCTCATACAAATGACATGGACATCTATTGCAGATGCGAAATCTAATAGAGCAAATATCCCGTAGTATACTTTTTCCCCCAGAACTGAAACGTAATGCTGGTTAATCAGTGAACAATCTAAATCTACCATGTATATGTATGGTTACCTAGGCAACCCATATCAGCACTCACAAAAGCAATGTGACACATTCAATTTTGGGACTGTCACCTGACATAAATACTATAAAAAAAAGTTATGTTCAGAAAAGCGATCTTGTAAATTTTTATTCTGGTGTTCCTGACCTTCATTCATAAATATTGTTTAATTATATTGTTTTTTTTAAACCTGTTTAAGTGAATAACCACACTTTTGAGACAAAGATTAGGTCCTATGTCATTTCATACCCAGCTGGTCTTTTCTAAAATTCCATTTATAAATCAAAAACTTGATTATTACTACCTTATTCTAAAA